GTGAGATCCTGTCTCAAAAAACTTAAAAAGAAAAAAGTAGCCAGGTGTGGTGGTGCATGCTATATTCTCAGCACTTGGGAGGCCAAGGAAGGAGAACTGCTGTCAATTCAAGGCTAGCCTGGGCTACATCATGAGTTTGAGGCCAGCCTGAACTACATACCAAAACCCACTCTCAAACAAAACAAAACAAACAGAACAAAACAAAAGAAAAGCAAAACAAAACCAAAGCAAAGCAAAGCAAAACAAAAGCAAAAAAATGCAAAATAAAAATCTGAACTATACAGCTACATAACTAAAAGGAGGTTCCCAATTCACTCCCTGTTTTATTACAGTATCAAAATCTGATCAACTGTCTGTACACTAATTTAATGGTTTAAAAACAAAACTTTAGCACTTGGGAGGCTGTAGCAGGAGAATCACTGCATGTTCAAGGCCAGCCTGGGCTATAAAGCAAGACTATCTTTAAAAACAAACAAAAAGAACAAAGAGCAAAAATTTAGAACGGGAGAACATGCTTTTTTCTTTTTTTTTAAGAGACGGTTCTCCAGGCTGGCCTTGAACTGCTATACTCAAACAATTCTCTTGCCTCAGCCTTCCAAGCAGCTGAGACTGAAGGAATGCAACACTGCACCTGGCCAAAACTGGGGAACTTTTCATCAAGTAATCCATTAGGTTTATCTCAAACTTTTCTTTGGTTTTAGTTTTTTGAGATGAAGTCTCCCTATGGCCTTATCTCCCTACTTTTTTTTCCCTTGGTATTGAGGAATAAAACCCAGGGCCTCTACACTGAGCTACGAAGTTTAGGCTGGAATTGAACTCATTACATGGCACAGTTTGGCCTCAAACTTACTGCAATCTTCTTGCCTCAGCCTCCCAGGTGCTAAGATTACAGGCATGTGCCATCATGCCCAGCTTAGTTCAGGCAATTCTGTAAAACCATGTCTCAATATAAATTAAAACAAGACTGCAGGTACAGCTCGCTGTGAAGCCCCTAAGTTCAATTTCCAGTACCTTACACATATACATGCTTAAGATAGGTGTGGTGTGGCACACGCCTGTAATCCCAGCACTCGGGAGGCTGAGGCAGGAGGATCGTTGCAAGTTCAAGGCCAGCCTGAGCTACAAAGTGAGCTCGAGGCCAGCCTGAACTGCATACTGCGACCCTGTCTCAAAAAGACCAAAACAAACAATCTGAACACTCAGGAAGATCATGAGTTTGAGGCCACCATGGGCTGCAGAGGGAGACCCTGTTTGGGGATGAGGCAGATTATGTACACACACAAACACACACAGAGACACATACACACATATGAACATGTCTGGAAACTCAACAA